AATATATAATAAAACAATTAAATAGTTTGGGCTGGTGCAAATAACCATATTGTTCTTAATATGGGGTAGCTGTTTTGAAATCTCACGCAGACAATTCAATTTTATTTATAGGTGTAGATTAGCATATTTATTACTTAATACTTGGATCATCGTCAACAGTTGTTTATGCCGAGGGTAATGAAGACATCAAATAGGAAGGTAGCTAATAGCTTAAACATATACGTATATATATATATATATATATATATATATATATATATAAATATATATATATATATATGTTTTTTTATTACTACTATATTTGTTTTATTATTAACTACGGATTTGGTGTACCTATATTCCTGAGTTTCTCATGCTCTTGAGCCAAACTATACAGATAAATAAAATTGAAGTGCCTTTTTGTAATGTCAAAATAACAGCATCATGTGGAATTATATACGTTACTTTAAGAAAATCATATTTTTTTTTAATTTTTGTGTCTGTCTATCTGTTTGTTCTGGATAATCTCTGAAACGGCTGGACTGATTTTGATGGGACTTTACTGGAAGATAGCTGATGTTATAGGGAGTAACATAGGCTACTTTTATTTTAGAAAAAGAATTAAGGTTCCGCTCAAAAAAATTAAAACGTACCTAGGGACGAACCCCAGCGATGCGAGGGTGGATCGGTAGTAATACATACATATGTGTACTTTAATGTAGGTACCAACTCATCTGATTTCTCGGGAAAAAGTTAAAATAGTGAGTAAATATTCATTTTAGATGTATATTTTTGATATAGTAAAAAAAACAATTTCCTTAATAATGAAGTTTATCATATATAGCTTCTTAAACATACTTTGTTACTTTGTAATATCTAACTGCAATTCTAAATTCGAATCATAGAAATTCTCTTAAAGCTTACCTATCTATACATATAATAAAATTGTAACTATTCTGAATCTCTCTACTGTCTGTCTGTTACCGCATCACTGAAAAACCACTAGAGGGATTTTGATGAAATTTGGTTTGATGGTAGCAGGTTATCGGGGTCAACATATAGGATACTTTTACTGCTCGAAAGCGAGAGAGGGTGAGTCACTAGTAGTGAATAAAATATATAGGTTTATTTTATAGTTATAACTTAAAAGTATCTACTGTATAGTAAGTAAAAGTAAGACACCCTGTAACTTTATCCGTACTAATATGATAAATGCGAAAGTAACTCTGTCTGTTACTCTTCATGTTTAATCCACTGAACCGATTTCGATAAAATTTGGTATCGACATAGTTTGAGACTCTGTAAAGGACATAGGATAGTTTTTATCCCGGAAATCATCCATTAAAGGGGTGATATGGGAGAGAGGGGGGGTGGAAGTTTGTTTGGGGAATCAATTATTTCTCAAGTAAAGGATATAATTTTTCCAATTTTATAGTACTTGCGTACTTTTGTATAGCTGTGTATGTACATATAATTAAATACTCTATTCTATACTTATTTTATTATTACTACTATTTAGTTAGTTGTACAGTAATTTTAATTTAGCTTTAAAATATCAAATGCTCTAGTGTAGTTAGTCTTAGGTCAAGTATTTTATTTAATAGAAGTAGCCCGCCCTCACTTCGCCACTTGATGTTCCCGTATTGAAATATGTCAATGCCTATATAAACGTCACTTTCGAGGACATAAACTCTGTTTAAGTGTGTAAAAATCAGGTTTTCCTATTGTTGCTTGAAAGAAAGACCAATCAATATCTTTTGCATTTTGCTAACGATCTACCACTATTATCTTTAGTTAGTAGATACTTTTGGGGGGGAGGAAGAGAATTTTATTTAAAATAATTTTTTTGTTAGTCTGAAGTCTCCTTAACTTTTTTACTAAATACGGTAAATTGATGAAATTAAGCAAATAATAAATCTCTGTTCTGATAAATTCAGAAGAATAAAATCTTTATTCTGAGAAAATACTTTCGTTTATTATAATATTTATTCGTTTTCTCGATTATATTATTTACTAGCAACTTACCCTCGTTTCGCTGGGATGCGTCTCTAGGTAAGTTTTTTTAGCGGAACTCTAATTATTTTTTTAAAATAAAAGCAGCCTAAGTTACTCCTTATAACATCAGCTATCTGTCAGTGAAAGTCTTAATAAAATCAGTCCAACCGTTTCGGAGATTAACCGGAACAAACAGACAAATATTTAAAAAATTGTGTTATTCTTATAAGTACCGTATAAAATTTAATATTCATTTAATAACAAGCTGTTATTATGACATTACAAACAGACATTTCAATTTTATTTATCTGTATAGATTACTCTATTTTCAAGCCATTTCCTTTGTTGGGTTTAAAACAAGAGCTTCATGACATCTTATTTGCCAGTGGGTGGGTATAATGGATGGGAATAAAGGTGTGGACAAATAAGATATAGAAAGTTAAATAAAGAATTTGACTAGAATTATATTATAAACTACGAAAATGAAAACTGAAGAAAATGAAACTTGAAGTGAATTAATATATATTTTTTTTGCAATTTTTTTGAAAAGTATCTAATAGTTGCCATTTGCTGTCAAATTTTTTCCCATTATGTACCTTTTACTGATATTAAATATCTCTTACTCATCTTTACCTTTATGATAATTTATTTTTATAATAATCACTTCTGTAGAGACGTCCAATGTTTATTAACCTACAAACTAGACACTTCAAGAAATGTTATAGGGAGCAAGTTACTTTTATTAAATGTTGTTGCTGATATTGTTTTTATAAGGAAAAGTCTTAAATTAATGATATTTAAAAAGTTTAGAGTAACAACAGATTATATTAATATAATTAAAAAAGGTCAAAAATACCTATGTACATATATTTTTAAAAGAAATTCTAGTTTAACATTATTAAGCTTTTCATCAATAAATAAATTAAGTTAGGACAGGTTTTGTCTGGGATTATAGTAGAGAATATCAAAGAAAATAAGCCGAGACACGACGAAATATTTAATTCTTTTCCCTTTCATACATTCTTTTCTAAATTCGTCATAAAACTGTCGAGAGCACATTCATTTAATTATACTTTATTACTTAACAAGACCTCACACAGCAGTGTGATTTTACTACTACATTAATTTATCTGTACAGTGATAATTACGAGACCTTTAATTATTACAAATAGTTATATTTAAGAAGAACTTCTAGTTGCGACATCTACTAAAATAAAATGATCGGTAAGTGGACATGAAGGTATGTAACTTCCTGAAAAGTAATCTCCTTGTTATTTATTTTACATCGATATTATTATAAAACATATGACAGATCCATCGATTCGTAACATATTTCTTAAAACTAAAAACGATTGGGTTGAAATTATTTTATAAGTACCAGAGCCAATTATTTTCAAATTATTATGACATTTTATGTTTCATTATATATTAAGATTACTTTTCAGGTAAATGCGAATATATAAATTATTGCTATTTTTTTGATTAAGTTTGATGCAATTAAATAAAATGGCGTACAAATTGTAAAGATGGTAAATTTTAATTATTACAGTTTATCTCAAGACTAAGACGTGGCCACACATTTTAGCTGTATATCTTTGTTACTCGAAGTTTACTTGTATTTTAAATTAAAAAAATAAATTGAAAACTTAAAGCAAAGTGATAAATAAAACACATATCTCACTTTCTTTGATATTATGTAATTTGAGGGCATATTTTAATTAAAATAATTAGATTAAGATGTGGCCATGCCTTTACAATTGATCTGTCGATAGATTAGTAGATATCTAAGTTGCCTTGCACTTATGTAGAAATTCGGTTACCTAGACGAGGTCGCCATTTTATACAAAACACTTAATCATTATAATGTTACGGACAATACAGGTTTATTGAAATAGATCCAAGTAATACTAAATTTACGATAGAACATTTATTTTATAGATAAAAGATAAAATAGGGAAGATGTAGCTAGTAAGTCGAATAGTTACTTTAAAGTTACGCTAACACTGGGATGATTTTCACGTCTCTACATCTTGTTAAAGTTAAATAACTGTACAGTGTACATCTAATAGTCAATATTTATTTCGATGTACTAGAGCAAGATACAGATTACAATATATTTAATACATAGATTGTTATGTTTGTGTATAAATAAATAATAAAATATTCAACTAAAACAAAAAATAAAAAGCAATAGACAGACTTAAGCGAACAGTACAATGAGTCAATAGAGGACAATATTAATGCACTTGCCCATATTATCTAATTATATTGATTATAACATCAACTTTAATAGTTTCAAAAAAAGTCATAACAGTAACTTAATGCATAATCTACTGGAACCGAGTTAAAGCTTTTTCAGAAATCCATAATTAAAATAACAAATTTTACGGATAATGAGAAATGAAAAAAAAACGGTAATAAATATTTGATCATTTTATAGATATTTCATATTTATTAAGCGACGTCGACGTTCTTAAGTATATTATCTAAAACGACGCATTTCACACGAGAAAGTTCTAACTGCCACCAAAGCGACCCGAGTAATTTAACAATTTGGTAACAAAATAAAAGATAACCACCTTCTGAACAGCGATACGAATACAACAATAAAGCAGTCTCACAAAATATTTTACAAAAATTCATATTTAATAAACTATCTAGATACAATAATTTATCGGTATTACCATTCGAACTTCGATACTTAAATAGTTTAATACATAATCAGCTATACTAAATATCAATATCAGGAATCATCTACTCATATTAGTCTCGTAAAAATTACAGAAAATAATTTCGTAATTAATACTATACACAAATCGACAACACAATATTACTGAGATTCTCTGGGACACGGCGCACCGGCAACCGGGAAGCGTCCAATTACGTAACGGTATAGCGATTACTCTATGAACAAGTCTGGGTAACAAACCTTTGATGCAGTACCATCGAGCACAACACTTAGCAAACTTTCCTCTTTAACTGGCTATACCGTGGTGGAGGTATGTCCCAGAGAAAGGCGCGGGTCACTGATGATGCTTGGCAGGCGGCGCGTGGTGCAGGGCCACGTGGTGTGGCGCGTGGTGGTGGCTCGCGTGGTGGTTGTGGTTATTAGCATTCGAATTATTGTTATTGTTTTGAGCCGCTTGCGCCGCCTGCCTTTGCGAATTCTTCTTGTTCTTCATTCGTCTATTCTGGAACCATATCTTCACTTGACGCTCGGTTAAATTCAGGTTACGAGCCAGCTCCCATCTCTTCTGCTTCGACACGTAAGCGTTGAAAAGAAACTCCTTCTCTAGTTCGAGAGTCTGGAATTTCGAATAGGGTTTGCGTTTTTTACGCACAGTTACTTGGCCAGTCCAATCTAGAGGGTTAGAAGAGCCGCAGCCGACGCCCACGCCTACTGACATGGATAGCGAACCTGCATAAAAACAATAAGTAGATTAATTAACTTGAAATTATTAAATAAAATCTAACACATTCATGTAACCTTAAGGATATAACTATATTTTTAATTATATTGTCAATTATTGTATAAAACTTCCTAACTATTTAGCTTCTACATTTAAATTAATACGAGTATAGACGAAATGCAGCGACTGGCAGCCTGTATTAATTACACGAATGCACTCTTTAAGCTGCGTGACCGAGCATTTCGCTTCTAACCAGCTATTTCTATTCAGTGTTCACAGAAACAATCGCAGCCACGGTGCGTTAGGAGTTGTATATAGCGCAATTTATGTGAGCGGTCCTTTTGATGAGATCACCACCTATAAACTTTGTATGCAACCCACGACCTTCTCGATTCGATGCTAGTAACTGCACCATTTCCTATTATTCAGAACGTTGCGAAATGGATGCTTCATTGTCTAGCGGATGAGCTCGAGTGTGGCGTAATACATCTAAATATCTCTATGTAACATTTATGTTTCATACAAGTTACTAGAAACGTCACATATTAAGTGACTCGAAGAGAATGTATATATCGATGTGTGTTTATTTTGAGATAAATTAATCATGTAATATCTATTGTTATGATTTGTGTTTCCTCGTTTCAATTAGAAAGTGTGTCCACATTTTATATACAGATAGTAACTAAAGCTATTCGCTTAGCGTAAATTTTATTTATTATTTAGCAGGTTGAGCAGATTTATATACTCGTACAGCAGTTATACTTTAAGTGGAAATTATATTTTCTTGACCGAATTACGGAAACATTCGACCTGCTTTCTAACAAGCAATACCATAAAATAATGACATTTGAAATAATTAAAAAAAAACTTATTGCTTCAGTCCATAGGCCACTCGTAAAAAAACTAACATCTAAATCCTACCACAACATTACTTAAAGGCTTCTTACATTTAAATCTGTTGTAAATTACAACACTAGTTTTATACCAAAAAATAAAATATACATATATTCTACAGTAAATTGCCTCAGTTGCAAGAATTAATATGGAAATACATATTGTCTAAAGATTTTTTTTATATTGTACTTATTAATATTAATAGATATTTTAATATTATTTAAGTATCGAAAAACAAATATACTTATTTAATTTAAAAAAAAATTTTAATTATTTAACTCAAATTAGTTTGTGATGTAAAAAAATAATTAATTATTCTTATAGAAATTACCATAGAATACTCATTTCGAATGAAAAATAAAAAACATTTTGCGTACGTATTATTATTTTTAATTAAACTTGAAATTATGTACTTTTAATATAAATAAAACTTCTAAGACGATAAAATGTTTCTGTAATTAAAAAGAATTTTCTTTAAATAGTATAGCAAAGACACTATTGTCTAAAGAGGACCATAATGACAAGTCAAGTTGTCAATTATGTGGGGATAGGTAGCGATCAGAGGCAATAAAAGTGCGGGTTCCGTTCGCCCATAAAAGTTACCTACCCGATCGCGGCCTGTCTATGTCGCGTACTTTACTTCACTGTACCTTCCTCACAAAATAAATCTAAATTGCACCTTGTAACGAAAACAATAAGGTTTAAAATTCCTTTAAACTTATCCTGGCATTTGTATTTGTGTCATTTAAGTTATTGCTTTAAAATGACACGGTATTTTGCAATTTAACATTGAGAAGACTAATAATTTTCTTTATAAACACATAGGAGGTGTCTTGTAATTTTAATGTTAATACAATGCAGGATAATGTTAAGTAAGATTATCATAAAGTAATAACTAAAGAAACCACAAGTAACAAACTTAATATAATAACCAACAATTGATAGAGATGTACAAAATCTCACGTATAGTTTAGAACGTATGAAGAAAGCGGAACGAGTTTGGCTAAGCCTGCTCTCTAAGAGAACATAACCATTAGAGCTACTCGAAGACCGTAAATGCACAAATCAAAGTCAATGTCAACTTCAGGTGGGTCATAAACACCAAATCATAAAGTGACGTGAACACTCGTATAACTTTTTCAACAATTGTTTCCTTTTAATGGGCCATTATATGTGCGTTTTACGCAAAATTATGTCAAGTTACACCTCTGCCGTAACAGTGGCACGATAAACCCATCTTTATGGTTAGGCGGCGATCGAAAGCGAACTAGCGTCGACCGTTTATGAATGGAGGCTTTTTATTGCTCTCATATTGACAACAGCTCAAAGCTGCCTAATTACTACTCACTAGCGATTTGGGGAAGAAACCAGTATTATTATTGCATGTCTATAACACGGTCGCGGTTTTATGATATCATAAAATTGATATACATCTAAGACGAGTAGTACAACGTCTCGTATGCATCGTCTCGTGCCTCGGGCTCTAGTTTTTTTATCACCTCATCAGCCTAAACAGTGTTTATTGTAGCAATATTTGCTTTATTGCCTCTACTCAAAGATCGGTTTATTGTCTTAACGCTCAGGTATCGTGTTTATTTATTAGTTATACATTTTTATTGGCGCTTTATTTTACGTAAACTTTAATTTATTGTCGGTAGTATAGAGCCGTTTAACATTGCCTATAAAACGATGCTTACGGTTCGTTTTTAAACATTTGTAGCACGTGTTTCGTTCATTCATCAAATTTATGGTGCTCTGTGGGAAAATGTTTTGATTGTGTGTTGTGTGCTACTGGAAGGATGTGAGTCAAGGAAATACCTGTGATATGTTATTCCGTGTATATTATTGAGTAACATGACATAAATCGAAATATAATGTAATTTAACGATTTAGATACCTGTAAGTAAAATAATAAAATAAACGAAATGGGCACGTAGGAGGTTTTTCATTGTATTTTTTATGAAACCTGACCTTTTTTCATCCTGTTTCATCTCCATTAACATACATATATTACAAAACACGCGTACATAACAACTCGCCATATAAGAAGTTTCACCTCGATATCAATGCAAAAGTGCATGCAGCCACGTATATTGTTCATCGAAACTGATAATGGGAAACGTGCTGGCCCACACTAAGAAATATTATTGATGTGTGCGTGACGCACACTAAGATCAAAAGCTCGGCTTGTGTGCGTTATATTACCGCCATCTAGCGGCAAGTGGTGCCACCCACACTCAGGAGGGTCAAGGTTGATAAACTCATAATAAATTATTTACAAATCTAATCTGTCTCCAAATTCAATCTGATCATATTCCAAGAAAGGCATTTTATTAATTACATAATAAGAACTCTTCGAACATTGAGATTACACAGGAGCTATTTGTTTACAAATGAAAGAAATGTTTTGCCACACATGTTTCTTCGATAACTTTGGTTAAAGATTACAAACATTACAGTGTCGCGACCGGAGGTTAAAAAACGTGATCTCAAAGTTCGATATATTAATTATAAATTTATATATTATGGCTATATCATTGATATATACATAAATAAATATTTTTATGTAATATAGAAATGAAATGATTTTTTTACTGACCAGGTAGAGCACTCGGGGGCGGATAGGGCGCACTGGATACCGATTCTGGTGCGTAGTTTCGTAGACCGTAGGCGTCGTGGGAGAAACCAGATGCTTCAGATACGGCTGTTCTGCGTTCTTCACCACCGACATAAGATAACGGCTGATCACCCCGTGGAGCACCATAGGGGTAATTCCAACAGGGTTGTGAAAAGCCTTGATGGCATCCGTCTGTATAAGGTTTATACTCTCCACTACTCGTCGGCCAAAATGGTAACGCTGATTTTCGCTCCCTCTCAACAGGCAAATTATAGTAAGTAGGACCAGTGGGATACTGGTGTTCGAAGGAAGCAGGTGCGTCAGGTGGGTAGCCCCATGACTGCTGCGCGTGTCGTATGACTCCCGGCTCTGGCTCGTAGCGCTTGGCTGGGATGTGGAGAGGCTGTTGAGGGTTGGAGCCCACGGAGGCCGGTGAAGCGCTGGAGGCCGAGGGTGGAGCGGCGGCGGGCGCGGCCGGTGGGGAGCCGCCCGGAGGCGACGCGTGCGCCTCCTCGTAGAGCGCCCCGCCGACGCTGTTCATCACGCTCCACCAGGCCGGCCCGGCGGAGTGCCCGGAGGCGGGCGCTGGCGACGCGGCAGCCGCGTCGCAGGGCGCGCCGAGGCCCCCGACATGGTTGTCAGGGTACAGGGTGGCGGCCGGGCAAGCCACGGGGGAGCAGGAACGGGGCCGGCAGTTCACGCGCGTCGCGGGCACATCGCACCACGCGTACACGCGACCACACAGGAGCGGCACATGAAAGTCAAAACGCGGTTCCCGATTTAGCTTGCTAGCCGGACGAGAAACGACCGCAACGTCGAATCGACTACTCGAGGCTACTGGAAAACTTTTAGCTATCGATGCCCGTCAACGAGTCGACGAGCACTGAGGTTTCGATAACTTCATAAAATCAAAGTCCAAAAAATCACGATACAGTTCTTAACTTTTAACTACTTCTGTTTTATTAATTTAGTCCTCCTTTTTAAACTGTCGTACCGAATAAAAAGTTCGTCAAAGCACCAGTTGTAAATAGTTTGTATCGGCGAGCACAAAGTCGTGAATGTATCGTAATACGTTAGCAGCTGAGCTAGCACACTAGGCGCGCAATCGGCGGCGCGGTCGAGCGCGGAGTGATGGCGCGCGGCGGTGTGCGGCGCGGCACGGAGCACACAGGCGCGCGGGCGGACGCCATCTAGTGGCGGGCAGACGCACCAAGCTGCACCGGCCCGCCCGGCAGAGCAGCGCCCGCCCGCCCGATATGTCTCCACTTTTCCATTTCAGCATTTAATGAAATTATTATTTTGGTAAATTTGTAATCATTTATATTTACTATTAGACTTTAATTAAGTATTTTAATACGATCTTCGTTACTAACATCATAGAATAGTGAGACCAAAAATAAAAAAATGTATTAATTACAATTAAGTTAACATTTTAAAACAAACGTTTACAATATTTATTTTTTGTATCTTTCTAAGGTTGGTTAGGGCACAGTAGCGCGAGTGTGGGCATGGGTTCGTTGTAAAACGATTAATGAAGGCAAAATAGCCATAAACTGCCGTTTAACCAAACTGCAAGCGTCACTGGACCATCGCCGAGTTGCTTACCAATAAAAAACGCGAGACTTTATGACGGCAACTCACTCACATTTTATTGTGAGTATAAACTTAATTTTATCGTCTGTTAATTTTACCACAAATAATCATAGGTACTAGATATCTCATAACATAATATTTATGACCTGACAATATAATACTTATTTGTACAACTTTCTACCGATTTGTAACATTATTTTAAATAAGATTAATTTGAACAATAATTATTATGGATATAGTATTTAATAGTAAAGAATTTAGTATTTTTCTTAGACTAATTATTTCTTTCTCTGCTGAGTGAATCGGGGACAAGACCTCAGAATAATCCAGCAAGACACGACCTATAAGGGCGGTTCCCTTTATACACGACATGAAAGGGAACAATACTTAACACCTATAAATCTGCTTACAATATTTCACACCTATACAAGCTACATGTTCTGTTTACACAAGACATGGCCATAAAATATGTCAAACGAACAAAAGCAAAACATACATAACGCACTAAGTAATGTTATCACTCTTGTTAACAATTTCTTTGCGCTGTTATTATGGTAATTGAAAACCAACTTGTCAAAATAAAATATATGGTATAGCAAAGGACTAATTTCCCACACTTACCCATTGAGTGATTTTAATTATAACGATTCGACAAAAGCGACTGTCGACAGAATTAAAGCGATAAATTTTGCAAATATGTACTACGTGTCTGACGATATTAGAACAAGGATTACTTGTGAAAGCAAGAAATATAAAATATATTAAATAACATTGTTGAAATGTAATAAAATGTTTTAAAAGAAATATTATTTTTTTAATAAAAAGGTACTTTCATTTTAAAATAACACCTGAAAAAGTACGTAATATTCCATCTGTATGCAGATTGCAGATGACTTACACTTATATTGACACTTTGAGCTGACCGAGTTGCATGAAGTCTGGTCTGACTGAAGTCCAGTCGTGGGGTGATTCATTCGACGTTCTTGTGAATCCCAGCAAATCACAATATATAATATTTCGGAGTAGTAGACTGAGGTGCAAAATCGACTGGAATTCAATACCTCAAACCCAGTTTTCTGGCGTTCCAATCCCTTATTGTAATAAAGTAAAAAACTTGAACCAAATAATGGATAGTAACATGACCTATGTAGCTAGTTAGACCTAGGTAACTCATGTTGACGAGTTCAGCAAACGAATACATCACTCTTTCCACTCTCTCGAGCGTCTCCAATTTTTTCTCCCCTTTAGTACCAGTATGCCTGCCCAAACCTTTCTTATCCCCATACTTGGCTATGCTGATACATGGCTATTTGGATGTAGCTGAGGAGCAACTCAACAAATTAGAGCATCTCCAGAATCGAGCTTTTCGCTTTATTTTTGGCCTGCGTAAGCATGGCCATATAATATGATCAAATTTTCGTGCTCAACTTAAATGGCTGCCAATCCGACTTCGCCGTGATAGCAGATCCTTTCGTTCCTCTTCAATATCCCTAATAACCCAAATTCTTCTTCCTACCTTCGTTCTCGTATTCAAATTCTCCCTACTCCCTCACGTTCCAGTCAGTTATGCGGCATGTCGATGTATGTGAAACACTGCTCTGGTACAAACTCCCTAAAGATATCCAACAAAGCCCCTCTTATAACTTCGTTTAAAAAATATAAAATGGACACAAATTGCTCCTCAATTATCAGATGAACTATTATTATGTGTTATATAAGTAGGTATACGATTAGATAATGATATATAGTATTATTATTATTATATTATTAATATATATTATAACATGTAAATTATTGTATATTCATCAACATACATATGTATTTTTCTATCTTTTTCAAGTGTATGTATATTATTAGTAATTTTACTTTATATTCATTGCATTGTTTTAGGCCCGTCATATAACATTATTTCTCACTTTCATAGGTTGACTGGAAGAGATAGATCTCTTCTAGAGATAGATCCACCTTTACCGACATTGGTCTCAGTATTATCTGCGTTACATAGTTAATATGTAATAAAGAATATAATAATATGTTTCATTCTATTTATAATGAAGTGTTTTTTAAAACAAACTTAAATTCCATTTACATTAATTAAATATTCTTTCTTAAGTATTTTCAATATTATCAAACAGGGAAAGTAATGTGAGCTTAAAGAGTCACTCGTGAACGTTTATAAAGATAATTTCGTGAATAACCAAGATTATCTAAATGATATCCGGGGAGCAGCGCAACCAGAGACGCTTTCAACGCGTGTTGAATGACAAAAACAAACATAGGAACAAGTGTGCGCCTCAGTCTTCTATAAATATTTACGTTAGGAAACTCTTCAGGCCAACGGTCGGCCATGTTGCGCGTAAATAAGTGCGCTTTCTTATCTCAGGCATGTGTTGCGCAAACGAATTGAGACTACCGTATATGTAAGCAAACGAAATATAAACAGTTTTTGAACATGTATATAATATACTTGTATTTTGTATACACAGAATAAAGTGAGAAAGCAGACATAGTATCTGATATGGAAATCACAATTTCGGCATTACTAATAAAGCTTTAGAATGGTACCACGTCAAAAGTCTAGTTAGATATTATTTTCGTATAATTTCTTAATATTATAAATTAATAAAAAAAATAGTATTTAGGTTATATGTTTTCACTAAATTATAAGTTTATCTTAATTTTTAATAGTCTTTATAATTTAAAATGAAATATTTATAGGCAAATAGCCTTTTGATTAGATTAACTAAAAATTTAAATTTATATGACTTTGAATACAAAAATAAAGTTTTCTAGTGACAAGAGCTAAAATGTATATGCAAAACGTAACTTCTTATTACAATATTCTTTATCTTGGATCGTAAATAACTGTATCTTGAATCTGTTAGCCGTATATATGAAATACATCGATTCTTAATAATCGAAAGGAGGTTAACGTTCTTGGACACCGTTTTAATTATTTCAGTATGCCATACTTTATCTTAAGTCTTTTACATGGTTTTATAATAATATAAATAAATTAAGCGTCAACTGTTCATTTAGTTGAAGGTTTTAATTATTTTAATTTCAATATTCATTTTAAATAAAATATGTTAAGTGATAAATACGAAAAACTTAAGAATTTTATGTTACATCATAAAAATATGTGATATAATAATTATCTAAAAATAAATGAATAAATTAATTATCAAAATATTTTTATAGCGAATACGATTAACAAATTAGCATATTATTTTAGAATACCGTTTATGTTTAGTATGAAAAATCGGATGCCTTAAATGTTATTTTAATATTAAATTCGGTGAAATAGTATGACTATATCGAATGTGTAAATAAAAAAACCATTCCGCTTATTATAACAATTTGAAAACTAACTATTTTTATTTTAAATATTTTTTTATTAACATTTTTATTACAAAATTTTTTATTAATTTTTGATGAACATTATTGCCGATACAGCATTTTTAGTTTCTTGAATGAAGTATGTATAAATGTTTAAATTCCCACATTTTAGATGTATATATATATATATATATATATATATATATATATATATATATATATATATATATATAATTTATAGGTATAAGTATTTATTATTGCGCTACTGTGCTCAGATGAATTTATTTTCATTTGTTTTCGAAATAATTAAACCTATTTTATTTAATTAATTATTTTTTCTTATAAATTATTTCCCAAATACACTATTTACAACTGGAGTAAGACTATCTACCGTTAAAGAAGGTCTGGGTATTAGGCAAACATTAATAGATACATCTAACATAAATTTTGTATATTAAAACATTGTAGGTATTTATTATTTATATCAATTAATATGTAATAAAAAATCTACATAAATAAATATTCACCTTGTCGTAAACTGGCTAGTGAAGTTTGTGTGAACGGACAGGGCAGCCTGGAAATAAAATATTTTGTTTAAAAATAGTTGAAAATACGCACATGACAAATAAATTTAAATTTAATATTGAAATAGAGAAATATTTATGCAAAAACATTTTCATACCAAAAAGAAAATTGAAGCAAAATATAAACTTAAACAAAGGTAATATTTGCTAGTTATAAATAACATTTAAAAAGGCAATTTAAAGTTTTTCAATGGAAACCTACACATACTGGATACTTTAAAACATAGCGGCATGTAGCGGCACAGAGCACGAGAACATGTTACCTAGTTTATTCTCGAGCCACCACGCCCCACGCCAGCCATCCCATTGACAAAGCTATAGTTCCACCATTTTATTCTCTAACCTCGCGCGATACGTAAATAAATCCTTTCTAAGTCATTGGATACGGCGCAAAGTCACGAAGTTTACATAAAATAGGTGATTTGCGCCGATTGCCACGGTTTTTTCCAAGTTCCCTGAGGGTGTGGAACGCACCTACTTATAGAGGAACGCGAAAAAACATGTTTACAGACTTTTTTACTTTAACGATCACTGACTTTACTAGACATGTTAGCGATCGTAAATTTCGTTTTGTGCCTTAACAATTACAAACTCCGATAGTGATTTATTTAAAATAGTTTTAGTATTGTGTAAAACTAGTTTGAAGTAAAATTTAAATCAATTTGAACTTAAACTGGTTCCTTAATATTACGAAAAGAGTGAACTCTAATTTAAGTTTCATTGCACGTGTAAGTATAGATATCTATTCAACTTAGTAATCTTACTC